GAAAAACTTGTCATACCAAAGTAAAACTGTATTCTTCCCTTCACCCCGACATGCCAAACTGTAAATCAAAGTCATAGACGAGAAAGTAATGGCTTCATTTATAGGTGTTTCAAAGCTCATTTCATTAACTGACTTCACTTGAGTTAGAATGGATTTACAACATCTGAGGCCTCTTCCTATATGGTAAATAAGCCACAAAGATCTTACCTAAATTAGTTTTATTCTTGTAAACATGATACACCAGTAGCAGAATTCAAAACGATCTTAACAGATTAGGGAGATGGGCCAAAACTAATAAAATGAAGTTCAGCAGTGACAAACGCAGAAAAAATGAAATGCAAAGATAAGGGAGATGTTCACAAGCTGGAATGTGTCCGGAGGAAGGCAACTAAAATGATCAAGGGTCTGGAGAACACCAGAGCTGATCCATAAAAAAAAAGCATGTGTAGATGTACTCCTGGTCTCAAAAGAAGTTCAGCACTTTGGATAGCTCTACATAAGTTTTTATTTAAAGCCAAAGCAAATCCATTGACCCACTAACATTGAAGCCACTGGCTATAACTGGAAAGACACTGCCTGAGACTTCTGGTTAGATAGAAAAGTGCAGGACAGCTTCTGCAACAAATCCTGAAAAGGTTACTCTTTGGTTTCTAAATCCTCCACAACATGATGAGTTGCCATATGGTTGAGGCCTTGGAGCCTCCACTCCTCCAAAGTGCAACTCTTCCAAAGTGCAACTGTTCTGAAGACCTTCAAGGCCTTTTTGGCTCTGAGATTTACAAGCCACCAATTTTATTTTCAAACCACTTTATGTAAAAATGTTTAGACTCTGCTTTAAAGCATGATAAGAGAAGCCTTTCTCTCACCACCACGGAAAATAAATCTGGGGTTGAACAAGCAAAACTTTCAACCATTGGGCATCTTTCTGGAAATTAGACTCTTGGGCACATGGAAAATAAATCCCATACATCTGGGATGGTAGAAGCAAAACTTTCAACTACTTTGCACTTGGGAATCTTTCTAGAAATTAAACTCTTGAGCACATGTTTAGATTCAAACTTTGGATACACGGGTTCTAAAGCAGAACTGGCTCTGCTATTAAACAAAGTGAGCCAGCTGCCCCAGTCACTCTGTGTGATACAGATAGGTTCAGTCTGCAGAAGCAATTCTTCATGGTTAGATGACACAAAAGGGGGTGGGAGCAAAGCAAGCACAAATAACCCCATGGGACACTCTGTACATTACAACAAAGAACACGGTTCTTTGGATTTAGAGGCTCCATATCTTGAGCTCTAGAGGAATAGGAGGCATAGTAGTGTGCATTACATTTGCTCTGTCTACTCATCTAAAAGAACATGTTCTTTTAAAGCTAGAGCTGTATACGTATGATGGCACAATGCATTGTGATTTATGTCAGTTTGCCATTTGCTGCTCTGCCTCAGGCATAAAAATACCTTGGCTTAACCCTTGCTAGCGAAGAGAGGTGGTCAAAATCTTTCAAAGCAGCTCCTTCACAGAACAACAAGAGGGAGTGAGTCAGGGAAGATTCACTCACTGTTGTAGGAACTTTACATGAACAATAATGTTGTGTGCCGAAGTGACCTTTAACATCCACTGTGACTCTTAATTCCTCTCCTGCTGCCTCTTGTTACAGGACCGGCCAACGGTGCCGTTTGTTATTAGCTCTCATAATGGTCTTGCTGAGAGAGCCACTGTTTACTAGTTAGAATCAAGCGTAACTGATCTCTCACTATTGTGCCCCACCTGTTACCAGCCCTGGCATGATTCTCCTGCAAATAAGAGTCTATTATCCATCACCTGCTGCTGACCTTCTCTTCTTTTCTCAATGGCTCTGATCAGAAGAAACAGCGCACCAAGTCCTAGGCTGCCACTGCTTGTTACTCAGTTCCTTGACTAGCTATTGTTGTTGCTCAGGAGGCAATACGTACCTCATCATGGGCCACAGCCAATAAGGAGCAAAACAAAAGGAGGAGGAAGGAAAAATATATTCTCAGCAGCGACAGCATAACAGCCACAGAAACCGGTCTGGTGTTCAAGAATAAATTACAGCATCTTTCTTGAGATTTCTAAATATGCACTCAAGGGAGATCATTTTTCCTCCTTCAGCTTGGAATGTCAATATCTTAGGGGTCAGGAAACAAAGGACAAACCTGCTCTCTGCAAAGAGACTCATCATTTCTGATTCAGGGGCAAAACAAGATAGAGAAAACGAGACTTGTTTGCAAGCTGCTTTGGGATGTGGAATTTGGGGGGTGGGTTACTCTGTGCCCCCAATGCTTCTCTTTATTCTGCCTTGGTTAGACTGCACCTGGAATATTGTGTCCAATTCTGGGCACCACAATTGAGGCAAGATATTGTCAAGTTGGAATGTGTCCAGAGGAGGGAGACTAAAATGATCAAGTGTCTGGAGAACAAGCCCTATGAGGAGTGGCTTAAAGAGCTGGGCATGTTTAGCCTTCCAAAGAGAAGGCTGAGAGAAAACATGATGAGGCCCACATTTAAATATGTGAGGGGAAGCCATAGGGAGTAGGGAGCAAGTTTGTTTTCTGCTGCCCTGGAGACTAGGACATGGAACAATGGCTTCAAACAACAAGAAAAGAGATTCATCTGAACATTAGGAAGAACTTCCTGACTGTGAGAGCTGTTCAGCAGTGGAACTCTCTGCCCCGGAGTGTGGTGGAGGCTTCTTCTTTGGAAGAGTTTAAATAGAGGCTGGATGGCCAACTGTCAGGGGTGCTTTGAATGCAATTTTCCTGCTTCTTGGCAGAGGGTTGGACTGGATGGCCCATGAGGTCCCTTCCAACTATATGATTCTATGATTCTTCAAAAAAGCTACCTAGTGATAAGAGACTGCTAGCCAAGGGCCAAGGCTGGACCTCGCATTTTGCACTCTTAGTAACCAGCCTTGCTTAACCACCCCAAAAGCCACAAGGCACAGTACCTGAGCCCACTTGTGTTATTTTGGCGCCTGAGATCAGCGCTGTCATCACCCCAAGATGTACAAATATATCTCCCCTCCCTGTCACTCAAAGCGAGAATAAGGGGGAGGATGAGCAGCCATAGTAATAGGGATCCCAAATTAAACACAGCCCAAACTTCAGGAGCACTGCAGAAGAGGCACTTGTGCCTTGCTCTGCCTAAAGTAACAGGCAACAACGTTGCTCCATCAAGTGATGATGAAGGATTACGCTGTGCAACTAAGAAGGCATCGACACTGTATAATGAATGCACACTGACACCACTTTAACTGCAAAGCTACACTGTAGATCAGGCATGGGCAAACTTTGGTAGGCTGTATTGTCGAAGACTTTCATGGCCAGAATCACTGGGTTGTTGTGAGTTATCCAGGTTGTGTGGCCATGTTCCAGAAGCATTCTCTCCTGACATTTTGTCTGCACCTATGGCAGGCAGCCTCAGAGGTAGTGAAGTTTGTTGGAAACTAGGAAAATGGGGTTTGTATATCCTAGTTTCCAACAGACCTCACAACCTCTGAGGATGCCTGCCATAGATGCAGGAGAAACATCAGGAGGGAATGCTTCAGTAGGCTGTTAGGAATTGTGAGAGTTGAAGTCCAAAGCACATGGGGGGGGGGGGGGGGGTTTGCCTATAGAATAATAGAATCATTGAGTTGGAAGAGACCTCATGGGCCATCCAGTCCAACCCCCTGCCAAGAAGCAGGAAAATCACATTCAAAGTACCCCCGACAGATGGCCATCTACCCTTTGCTTAAAAGCCTCCAAAGAAGGAGCCTCCATCACAGTCTGGGGCAGAGAGTTCCGTTGCTTTTGTGTGTGTGTGTGTTTCAGGAGCGACTTGAGAAACCACGAGTCGCTTCTGATGTGAGAGAACTGGCTGTCTGCAAGGACGTTGCCCAGGGGATGCCCATATGTTTTGCTGTTTTACCACCCTTGTGGAAGGCTTCTCTCATATCCCTGCATGGGGAGCTGGAGCTGGCAGAGGGAACTCATCTATGCTGTTCCGAGATTCGAACCTCCAACCTGTCGGTCTTCAGTCCTGCCAGCACATTGTGCCACCAAGGGCTCTAGTTCCACTGCTGAACATCTCTCACAGTCAGGAAGTTCTTCCCAATGTTCAGATGGAATCTCCTTTATTTCCTGTAGTTTGAAGCCATTGTTCTGCGTCCTAGTCTCCAGGGCAGCAGAAAACAAGCTTGCTCCCTCCTCTCTATGGCTTCCCCTCACATATTTACACATGGCCCTCATCATGTTTCCTCTCAGCCTTCTCTTCGGAAGGCTAAACATTCCCAGCTCTTCAAGCCACTCCTCATAGAGCTTGTTCTCCAGACCCTTGATCATTTTAGTCACCCTCCTCTGGACAGGTTCCAACTTGTCAACATCTCCCTTCAACTGTGGTGCCCAGAAAGCAGAATAGAGGGGTAGCATGACTTCCCTGGATCCAGACACTAGACTCCTATTGATGCAGGCCAAAATCCCATTGGCTCAACATCTACCTGGAATTGTAGTGCCCAGAATTGGGCACAGTATTCAGGTGTGGTCTGACCAAAGCAGAATAGACGGGTAGCATGACTTCCCTGAGGGAGCTCCCACTGGCGCAGTGGGTTAAGCCACTGAGCTTGTTGACCAAAAGGTCGCAGGTTCGAATCCGGGGAGCAGCGTGAGCTTCGGCTGTCAGCCCCAGCTTCTGGCAACCTAGCAGGAAGGGAACATGACCAGCCGGCCACATGATCTTGGAGGTGTCTATGGACAACGCCGGCTCTTCGGCTTAGAAATGGAGATGAGCACCAACCCTCAGAGTCGGACATGACTGGACTTAATGTCAGGGGAAAACCTTTACCTTTACCTATGACTTCCCTGGATCTAGACACTAGACTCCTTTTGATACAGGCCATTGGCTTTTGAGAAAGTTGCTACTCTTCCATACTCTGATCAAGTCCGCGGTGCCAGGGATTCCCTTCCACCCTCCTCTGCCGGCTGCCCGAAGTGCCTGGGCCACCTTACCTGACCCGGTTGTCGGTGAACTTGCTCTGCTGGGGCTGGTTCAAGTAAATGGTGCGGGCTGCTGCCTCCTCCTGGTCCGCAGAGGACGTGGCCCCGGACATGGCATCGTCCGCCTTCTTGTAGCCCGAAGAGGAGCAAATGGGTCCTGCCCGCCGCAGAACGAGAGAGAAGCGAGGCCGGGGAGAGAGAAAGAGAAGACGGAGAGGAAGGAAGGAATCAGTTGGAGGGAGAAGAAAGGAAGGAGGAAAGGTGGGAGGGAGGGAGAGGAGGAGGAGGAGGTGCCCTCCAGCAGTCTCTCTCTCTCTCTCTTTTTCTCTCTCTCTCGGGAGCGTGACGCCCCCCCCCCCTCCTCTTCACCCTGCCCAAAAGTCGGGGAGGCGGCGTTGAGATAGAGAGGCGGCAGAGCCAGCCAGCCAGCCAGCCTCCTGGTTGCTTTTTCCAGCTCTGCCTCGCCCCTGCCTGGCTTGGCATCCACTCCTCCCTCCTCCTCCTCCTCCTCCTCCTCCTCTGTGCCATCAGCCCTCGTGCAAAAACAAGGCAGGCACAAGGAGGAGAAGTGGCAGCAGCATCCAAGTTCAAGCTGCACCAGGCATGGGCACACTTGGGCCCTCCCTACAGGTGTTTTGGACTTCAACTCCCACCATTCCTAAGAACCTCAAACCCATTCCTTTCCCACTGCTGAACAGCTCTCACAGGCAGGAAGTTCTTCCTAATGTTCAGGTAGAATCTCCATTCCTGTAGTTTGAAGTCATTGTTCCGCCTCCTAGAGGGGCAAAGTTTGTCCATGCCTGATGTAGATAGGCCCAGCGTACCTGTCCAAACGCATCTCCTTCTATGTCACACCTCAGAGTTTAAGATCCTCTGGGGAGGCCCTGCTCTCAGCCCCGCCTTTATCACAAGTGAGACTGGTGGGGACGAGGGACAGGGCCTTCTCGGTGGTGGCCCCTTGCCTGTGGAATTCACTCCCTGGGGAAATTAGGTCATCAACATCCCTCCTCTCTTTCAGAGGAAGTTAAAAACCTGGATATGGGACCAAGCCTTTGGGTAATCTGGCAGATGGATAAAGACAATGTCGACCAGAGTAGGAAAGGACTATGACAATGCTGGATGGATTATGGATTTATGAATTGGCGAACATTGACCACAAGATGATTTTATTGCTGCTATTGTATTAATTTGATTGTTTTAACTAGTTATAATTGTTGTTGTTATACTGTATTTTGTATATTGTATTTTGTGAACTGTTGGGTATCAAATTGTGCCTTTTGTTAGCCACCCTGAGTCCCCCCTAGGGGGTTGAGAAGGGCGGGGTAGAAGCACTCCAAATAAATAAATAAATAAATAAATAAATAATAGATATGAAGAAACCCCGTGGGCCATCCAGTTGGAAGAGACCTCATGGGCCATCCAGTCCAACCCCCTGCTAAGAAGCAGGAAAATTGCATTCAGAGGACCCCTGACAGATGGCCATTCAGTCTTTGTTTAAAAGCCTCCAAAAAAGGAGCCTCCACCACACTCCGGGGCAGAGAGTTCCACTGCTGAACAGCTCTCACAGTCATGAGTACTCATATAATAATAATAATAATAATAATAATAATAATAATAATAATAATAATTTATTTATACCCGCTACCATCTCCCCAAGGGACTCGGTGCGGCTTACATGAGGCCAAGCCCACAGTACATCAATAAACAAAAGCAATAACAAAAACAATCAATACAATACAATTAATATAAATCACATAAACAAAAATAAACAATCAACAATCAACAGTAACACACAAGCATTTAAAACCAATGGCCAGGCCAAATCTAATAGATTAAAATTAAAAATAATGATAGACGTGAACAAGTTAGGATATAACTGGGATAGGATTTTCAGAGAAAAATGAGAGAACGCAGTCAGTCCTAAAGTGCATTTTGAGGGCATATTGCTGAGAGTTTTCCTTATTCTGGGAAGGCACACTGAAATAACCACGTTTTCAGGCTCCTCCTAAAGACAGCCAGAGTTGGGGCATGTCTGATGTCCTTGGGAAGTGCGTTCCAGAAATGGGGGGGCACCACCGAGAAGGCCCTCTCCCTCGTCCCCACCAATCACGCCTGCAAAGAAGGTGGGAGCGTGAGCAGGGCCTCTCCAGATGAGCGAAGAGATCGTGTGGGTTCGTACACAGAATCATAGAGGTGGAATAGACCTTATAGGCCATCCAGTCCAACCCACTGACAAGAAGCAGGAAAATCGCATTCAAAGCATCCCCAACAGATGGCCGCCCAGCCTCTGCTTAAAAGCCTCCAAAGAAGGCGCCTCCACCACACTCTGGGGCAGAGAGTTCCACTGCTGAACAACTCTCACAGTTAGGAAGTTCTTCCCAATGTTGAGATGGAATCTCCTTTCCTGTAGTTTGAAGCCATTGTTCTGCATCCTAGTCTCCAGGGCAGCAGATAACAAGCTTGCTCCCTCCTATCTTTAACTTCCCCTCACATAGTTATACATGGCCCTTATCATGTCTACTCTCAGCCTTCTCTTCTGAAAGCTAAACATGCCCAGCTCTCATAGGGCTTGTTCTCCATATCTTTGATCATTTTAGTTGCCCTCTTCTGGACACTTTCCAGCTTGTCAACATCTCCATTCAATTGCTTAAGCGGCTGAGAAGGAAAAGGAAAGGCCTGAAGCTGTTAGGAATGGTGGGAGTTGAAGTCGCCAGGAGGGCCCAAGCTTGCCCATGCCTGATCTGCACAGTAGAGTTACAGCAGTCACATTCCACTTTAGCTGCCATGGCTTAATGATATCCAATCCTGGGAGTTGTAGATTTTTGAACATTTATATCCCGTCCTTCTCAACCTCCGAGGGGGGACTCAGGGCGGCTTACAACTGACAACCATTAGAAGCCAATGAACAAACAATTGCAGCACAACAATTTCACATTCAGTAAACAACAAAATCATAACATGCATTAAAATATTGACTATTAAAATATTAACAACCAAGCCTAAATTCCCAAATCCAAGGCATACTCCAAAGTCCTAGCCCAAGATCTATCCATTAACAGTTCCCGTGAGTCATTGCAATTTCTCCTCAGTCAGCTGCCTGAATGCTTGGTCCCAAAGCCAAGATTTTAACTTTTTTCTAAAGAGGAGGAAGGAGGGAATCATCCTAATTTCACTGGGGAGTGTATTTCATAGATGGGGTCCACCACTGAGAAGGCCCTGTCTCACATCCTCACCACGCTTGTGAGGGTGGCGGGTTTGAGAGCAGGACCTTCTCTGATTATCATAAGCTCTGAGGTGGATCATAGAGGGAGATACATTCAGACAAGTAAGTTGGGCCGGAACCATATAGGGCTTTATAGATCAAGACCAGCACTTTGAATTGTGCCTGGAAATGGACCAGCAGCCAGTGGAGCTGAATAACTGGGGGGGGGGGGGGGGGGGGTGGCATGCTTCCTGTATGCCGCCTCAGTGAGTAATCTGGCTGCCGACCATTGGACTAGTTGGGAGTTTCCAAACAGTATTCAGAGGCAACCGCCACGTAGAGTGCATTGCAATAATCTATTGGAGATGTAACAAGAGCATGGCCAGATCAGACTTCCCAAGGTACAGGCGCAGCTGGTGCACAAGTTTTATTTGTGCAAAACCTCCCCTGGTGAATGTTTCAATTGGCCACCTTGATTAGCATTTAGTGGCCTGACAGTTTTTAGGTGTGACTTGTTACTGCCTAGGAAATTCCTGTGTTGAGAGGTGTTCCTGATTGTTTCTTGTCTAGAGTTCTCCTGTGTTTGAGATTTGTTTTTGTTTTTATTTACTGCTGTAATTTTGGAGGGTTTTTTAGTACTAGTAGCCAGATTTTGTTCATTTTCTTGGTTTCTTTCTTTCTGATAAAAAGTGTCCACATGATTGTGAATTTCAATGCTTCTCTGCATATCTATATATTTTTAATCTCAATGGGTGAGTTCATATCTCTCAGCCCTATCTATCTCACAGGGTTGTTGTGAGGAAGAGAACCATGACATCACCTTGAACTCATTGGAGGAAATGCTGGATATAAATAGAATAGTCTATTTATCTACAGACTGTGCAGGGATACTTTATCCATGGACTCAAGCAATCATGGCTTGAGTGTGTATGTGTGTAATATCTCCATCCATCCATCAAACCTTGATTTTGCCATTATCTGTAGGGGATGCCATTTTATATAATGGAACCTGAGCATCCATGGACTTTGGTATTTGGGAAGTCCTTGAACCAAGCCCCAAAACTTGAAGAAGTTACTTCTTTGGGCTACAATTCCCAGAATTCCCCAGGCAGCTACATCAACTGACCCTGATGCCTGGGAGACCATACCTCTCTCTCAGGACCCTTCCACACATCTCAGCAAATCCCACATTATCTGCTTTGAAATGGAATATATGGCAGTGTGGACTCACATAATCCAGTTCAAGGCAGATATTGTTGGATTTTCCATTTTGATATTCTGGGTTACATGGCTGTGTGGAAGGGCCCTCTGTCGTTATTTTCTGCATCCTCCTTCAAATTTGCGAAAGATTTTCATTAGTGTTGCTCATATTTAACTGTATCCTACACATGCAGACAAAGACCTGCCTGGCTGCCTGCCTATCCTTCTTTCCCTCGGCATTCCACTGCTAGATCTCTCTGGAGAGGAAACTTCTACCTGCCATTCTGCACCTCAAGACACATAGTAGGCCTTCCCATTCTGATACTTCCCCCTCTATACGGAACATACTACTCTTCCCATCTCCCCGAGTTAGAATGGTCAAACATGGAGAATGTGGGAAATGCAATCTACTACATCTGTATGTCTCTAGTTAGTGGTTCTCAACCTGTGGGTCCCCAGATGTTTTGGCCTACAACTCCCAGAAATCCCAGCCAGTTTACCAGCTGTTAAGATTTCTGGGAGTTGAAGGCCAAAACATCTGGGGACCCACAGGTTGAGAACCACTGAGTTAGGAAAAGGTTGGCAAAGGGGTCCGGTAAGCATGCTGTTTTAAAATTTATACCATAAGATATCACTGACACCACTAATTTCTCCAAAGACATTTCGAAAGGTCATGTACTTCTCTCAAGGATCTTTTAAATAAGAATGATATTTAAACAGTTAAGCGGGAAATGATAGACAACAGGCAGAAAGAG